GGAGATAAACCTGATAGATGAAGAGAATATTCATTTGCTCAATTTGTGGTTCGAAGATGTCCTAAAAAGTCTCCATTATTAAATAATATTGGCACCTTGAGATAAATTATGAAGGTGTTAATAGCTGCTTCAACACTACAGCTATGAATGTGCATTCTTTTGAGTACCTGCATATTTATGCATGATTAGTGGGATAGTATTAACTTAAATAAAATGTACTCCACAAATAGGAAAGAAAAAAAAAAAAAAAATTTCTCTCATTTTAAACCAGCCAAACCAGTGTTTCGGCAGGAAATAGTTACCTCCTCCCTCCCCCCCCCTCTCTTTTTTGTTTGTTTGTTTGTTTATTTAAATTAACTCGTCTAATCCACACCTTATAGTAAGAACCCAGAATGGCTGGAGGAGTGAAGTTGCGCAGCTATTTGGCAGTTCCCATTTGCCCTAAGCGTTAAGTGGGCCAACAGATTGAATATGAATACATGGAAGGAGATCTCCCAAATAAGAGCCCGATGCTATTGCAGTTAAGGAAAACTATTGAAGTGTTGGGTCGGTGGACCGTGATAAATACTGTTCACTTAAACATTGGGTCCATTATTAAAATTCTATGTGCTTCCGTGTAATCTTAGTTCTATATTTATAAATAGATGAGGGGGGTGTATTTTTTAAGTAAAAAGAGAGTTGTATTTTTCTGATCATAGTGAAAACTGTAGCAGTCGTGGACGTAACCTTATTCTAGGTTGAATCACATAAATCCTTGTGTTCTTATGTGTGTGATTTGTTTGATTCGTTAATTTTTTTCTTGTTTGTTATTTCGTGTCTCATCGATGTTGGTTAGGAAGAGTCAATTCCTATGCAGTTAACAATTTGTTTGATTCGTTAATTTCTTTCTTATTTGTTATTTCGTGTCTCACTGATTTTGGTTAGGAAGGGTCAATTCCTAACAACTGGTATCAGAGCATTGGTTCGAGTGGGAGCTATGGGTACAGACGAAAAGGTTAGAATCGATAAATTCAATGGCACAGATGCAGATTGAAGACTATCTGTATCAGAAAAACTGTATGAGCCTCTTTCAAGGACGAAACCAAAAAAGATGAAGCATGATGAGTGGATTCTTCTTGATCGCCAAGCGCTAGGTATTAGTCGGCTAACGTTGCCTCATAATGATGCGTTTAACATAGCGAAGGAGAAGACTACAACAGGTTTCATGGCGACACTCTCAAACATGTACGAAAAACCCTCTGCCTCAAATAAAGTTTATTTGATGTGTAGATTGTTTAATCTGATGATGACAGAAGGTGCTTCGGTGACTGAGCATCTGAATGAATTCAATATTACGGTAACACAATTGAGTTATGTATCTATCGAATTTGATGATGAGGTTAGGGCTTTGATCTTTCTATCTAGCTTGCCAGAAAGCTGGAATGGCTCTTCAGGAAAAGAAAAGTTGAATTATAATGATATTCGAGATTTAATTTTGAGTGAAGCAATTCGCAGGAGGAAATTAGGGAAAATATTATGTTCTGCCCTCAATACAGAAGCCAGAGGAAGATTAGCAGGAAAAAACCCGAACTGCAACAGATCAAAATCCAAACACAGAAGCAAAGTCAAGAACTGGAGAGGGACAGAGTTATTGGAACTGTGAAAAGAAGGGACATCTAAGGGGAGATTGCCCGACATAGAATAAGAACAAAAGTGATCAAAATCAGAAGTCTGCTAATGCTGCACCAGAGGAGCTTTATGATGCTTTGATCTTGAGTATTGACAACCCTTTTGAATATTGGATTTTAGATTCTAGGGCATTATTCCATTCTACTTCACAGAGGAAAATCATGGACAATTACATTGGTGATGATTTCGGGAAGATTTATCTGGTTGATGATGAACCTTTGAAGATTGTGGGTAAAGAGGATGTAATAATCAGGTTGCCAAACGGATCTGTTTGGAAGATACAGAATGTCAGACATGTGTTTGGCTTGAAAAGAAACTTGATTTCTGTTGGACAACTTGATGATGAAGGTCATGTTGTAACCTTCATGGGTGGTTTGTGAAAAATCACCAATGGAGCCATGGTTGTTGCTCGTGGTCAAAAAGAAGGCACCCTTTACATGACTACGAACAATAGAGATGCAGTAGCAGTTACTGGTGAGAAGGAAGACTCAAATCTGTGGCACTAAAGGCTTGGGCGTATGAGTCAAAAAGGGATGAAGGTACTTGCATCTAAGGGGAAGTTGTCAGATTTGAAATCGGTGGACATTGACTTTTGTGAGGATTGCATGTTCGGCAAACAAAAGAGGGTTAGTTTTTTAAAGGATGACAGAAAATCGAAGTCAAAAAAACTGAAGTTGGTTCATACAGATGTGTAGGGACTTGCACCAGTTTCATTTCTTAGAGGATCATCATACTATGTTACCTTATCGACGACTCAACGATAAAGGTATGGGTTTATTTTTTGAAACATAAATCTGAAGTTTATACTACTTTTAAGAAGAGGAAAGCCTTGGTGGAGACTAAAACAGGTCTGCAAATTAAGTGCTTGAGATCAGATAATGAAGGAGAATATGAGGACAATGAGTTCAAGAAATATTGTGCAGAAAGTAGAATTAGAATGGAGAAGACTGTTCGAAAGACACCTTAACAGAATGGCGTTGCAGAACGCATGAATAAAACTCTGAATGAACGTGCTAAAAATATAAGAATACATGTCGGATTACCAAGGATGTTTTGGGTAGATGCAGTTAACACTACAACATATCTAATTAACTATGGTTCATCTATTCCATTGGATGGAGAGCTACCAGAAGAAGCTTGGAGCGGTAAATAGGTAAATATTTCTTTTTTGAAGGTATTTGGCCGTGTTTCATATATACATATAGATTTTGCTGATAGAAGTAAACTTGATCTAAAATTTGTTAAATGTACTTTTATTAGGTATGTCATTGATCAATTTGATTATCAGTTTTGGGATGATAAAAATTGAAAAATAATCAGAAGTAGAGATGTCATATTCAATGAGAAAGTAATGTATAAGGATAGGGATAAATCTGCATCTAAATCTGAATCTGAATCTAAATCTGTTACTTGTCATGAGCATATTAGTTAGAGGAAATTAGTGAGAATGATTTGAATAATAGGATTCAGAATAATCCTGAAAATCTTATTCCACAAACTGAGCCACATACTCTTACTCCTAAGCTGAAACGGTCAGAAAAAGAGTCTAAACCTACACATCGTTGGTCTCCATCTTCATATTATTTGTTAGTTGTCTGATGGGGGTGAACCTGAAAGTTATGATGAAGCTTTGCATGTTGATGATTCAATCAAGTGAGAGTCAGTTATGCAAGATGAAATGGATTTACTCATGGAAAACTAGACACGGGAGTTGACTAAATTACCAGTGGGTAAGAAAGCTTTGCACAACAAGTGGGTTTACAGGGTCAAACAGGAACATGATGGAAGTAAACGCTACAAGGCCAGATTGGTTGCAAAGAGATTTCAGCAAAAAGAAAAGGTTGACTCCACTAAAATTTTCTTTCTAATTGTGAAGTTGACCACTATCAGATTGGTGCTGGGAATTGTGGTTGCTGAAGATTTGCATCTTGAGCAGATGGATGTGAAGACGGCTTTTCTCCATGGTGATTTAGAGGAGGAAATTTACATGAAGCAACCACAAGGTTTATTGACACGTGACAAAGAAGAGTTTGTATGCAAACTTCAAAAAAGCTTGTATGGTTTGAAACACGCCGTAAGGCAGTGGTACAAGAAGTTTGATGGGTTTATGTGTAGCAGCGGTTTTACAAGATGTCAAGCAGATCATTATTGTTATTTCAAGAGGTTTGACAAAAGTTATATTATTTTGCTCTTATATGTTGATGATATAGGATCTAGCATTGAAGAGATAAAAAGATTGAAGAAACTTTTGTTCAACCAATTTGAGATGAAGGATCTTAGAGTTGCAAACAAAATCCTTGGTATGAGGATTCACAGGGACAAGGCAAATAGTACTTTGAAGTTGTCACATGCTTAGTATGTCAAGAAAGTTCTCTAGAGGTTTAGCATGGATGGTGCAAAACTAGTGAGCATTCCATTGGCTAGCCATTTCAGACTTACCAAAGAGCAGTCTTCGAAGACCGAAGAAGAACAGGCTTATACGGAACATGTTCCATATGCTTAAGCTATCGATAGCATAATGTATGCTATGGTTTGTATTAGACCAAACATTGCACATGTAGTGAGAATGGTTAGTAGGTACATGAGTAATTCAGGTAAACAACATTGGGAGGCAGTGAAGTGGATCTTTAGATACTTAAGTGGTACTACAGACATGGCACTTTGTTTCAGACGAACCAGCATTAGGTTACATGGTTATGTTGATGCAGACTTGGCTGGTGATATGGATAATAGAAAGAGTACTACTGGTTATGTTTACACATTAGGTGGTACAACAGTGAGTTAGATTTCACAATTACAGAAGATTTGTGGTCCTTTCTATAACAGAGGTTGAGTATGTTGCTATTACTGAAGTTGGGAAGGAGATGACTTGGTTATAAAATTTCCTAGCAGAGTTGGGTAAGACGCAAGAGATGAGTATTTTGCATAATGACAATCAAAGTGCAATTCATCTTGCAAAGAATCCGGCTTTTCATTTTAGGACGAAACACATTCAGCTGCGATACCACTTCATTCGTTCACTTGTAAATGATGGAGTCTTGTCTCTTGAGAAGATCCAAGGCAGTAAGAATCCAACAGATATGTTGACCAAGACAGTCACCATTGACAAACTGAAGTTGTGTGCAACTTCAGTTGACTTTCAAGATTGATGAAGGAAAATCAAGTTGTTGCGGCATTTTCTCTATGTGATGAAGATGATGGAGATCTTGTGTTATCAGGGTATGTTTTTGGGCCAAATTTCTGGATGACAGGTATGACAACAAGCCTTTACCATCGCTGTTTGATAGCTTAACTGTTACTAGGTAATCCACCTCCAGCCTTCTACATGCACATGGACAGAAGCTTATCCACAATAACACGCACAATCCAATAAGAAAAACAGTACAGAAATTTTATGTGATTGTGCTCGAGAAAAATTCACTGTCACACCCCCAATCCAAAGAGAATACAAAATTTATGTGGTTTCACACAAATCTTCTTATGTCCACGAGCACAAGATAAATCTACTTTAAACAGTAGAGAAATTACATGTATGAGACAATCTGGAGCCCCAAAATCATCTCCTGTCACCATTTATCCGAGTCTTGAAGCAATCCTCGCTTCCTACTCAGCCCGTGCCTGTGATCTTCTCCAGTTATGCCAGTGATCTATGGCTACACACCACGGGTAGGAGAAGATAAGGACAAAGCACCAAAAGAATCTGAAGATTCTGTAAAGTGTGGCGTTTGAGGTAGCAAATCCGTTGAAAGTGAAATTTTAGTTTTTGTGCACATTACGGCTGGTCCGTTGGATACTGGGCTTGGATCATTGAAGCAATTGTGGAGATAAACCTGATAGATGAAGAGTGTATTCATTTGCTCAATGTGTGGTTCGAAGATGTCCTAAAAAGTCTCCATTATTTAAATAATATTGGCACCTTGAGATAAATGATGAAGGTGTTAATAGCTGCTTCAACACTACAGCTATGAATGTGCATTCTTTTGAGTGCCTGCATATTTATGCATGATTAGTGGGATAGTATTAACTTAAATAAAATGTACTCCGTAAATAGGAAAGAAAAAAAAAAAAAAATAGAAGCACAAAAAGAATAAATAAATAAATTAGACGAGTTCACAATTATCCTCTAAATTGCATATTTGTATTCAACACAATTATATAACTCTAGTATGGACAGATCACTACTGTATGGGGAAGAAGGTCTTGCAATCCAAAAAAAAAAGCCGCAAGTTTCCTATGTATATTGCATTTTGAACCCTAATTCAGAAGATGAGAGCAATTTTCATAAAACAAACCAGAAAATCGTATTTGCTGCTCGTCATATATGCAAGGAAGCAACGGATCTAAGCGAAATCCATTTGTCATCATCTCATCTGCATGATCAACAATCAGGGTAGGTTGCTCTTGTCAAAACAAATACTTACTACTTGAAACAAGCATGCTTTCTACATAGTACTCATTATCCGTAGTTTTACTAGCCACTACCCTTCCACACCAAGAACAAGGCAAACTGAAGTCTCAAATGTCCTTAGAAGCCACCAACACTGACCCCATAGCATTGTTGTTGCTTATGCCTTCAAAACTTGAAGTGCTGAAGCCTCATCGTCGATATCAATTTCATCTTTCTTCATCATTTCAAAAATTTCTTGAGCTGGCTGTTGAGCGGATGCATGCACTCTAAGCAATGATTTATAAACTGGCAAACTGGCAAGGCCCAATCGCCTAAAAACCTTGAGATACCACTTTGCATCTTCAAAATTTCCACTCTTCTCAAAGAACTCTGCAATGGCCACCACAATGGCAGGTGATGGCCTCCAGTCACAATGTTTCAACATAGCGAAGCCTTTTTTCATGGCATTTACAGCTTTATCCATGTCCTGGCTTGTCACCCATCCTTCCATGAGTATCTCCCATGTCTTGTAATTCGGACATCCACCTCTCTCCAATGTGCGAAGATGCAATGACTCAGCTTTCTCCATTAATCCATTCCTCATGTATGCACCTAGAAGCACATTGGAAACTCTAATGTCATATTTTCTACACCCTGATTCATATTCCTTGAAAATCTTCTCAGCTTTTTCTATATCACCAAGCTTTACCAAACATAACAAGATACACATATAATTGGAACAAGTAACTCTCCCTTTCACTGCTTTACAGGCCTCCCAAAGCCGAAGAACACCATCTTTATTGTTTAAAGAGGCATAGAGTGTAATAAGGAAGAAATAACCAAGGCGGTTAGTAGTGGATAGCTTTTTTTCTGCATATTGAAGGGCCAAAGTGGCTTTGTCATGAAATCCGGATTTTAGATAGATATTGGCCAAAGTAGCTAGAGTGCTCCATCCTACTTGCACATCCTTGTCGTTCACCATTTCTTTGTAAACCATCTCAGCTGATGCAACCCCAGATACCTCACCACACGCACCCATCCAAAGGTTGTAGGAGAGGACATTTCGGGGTATATTGTTTTGCTTCATTTGAAGGATTACAGATGGCACTTTCACAAAATGAGATGTGGCCATATAAAGCTTCATCATCTCATTAAATGGATGAGGACTCACAGTCAGCCCCAAGCTATTCATTTTTACCATGAGAGCCTCAGCTTTCTCAGTGGCCCTTTCTTTAACATAAGAATGAAGAAGAGTTAGGCTGGCTGCTTTCTGTGAAGCGGTGTTAGGTAAACTTGCAAAATATTCTTCACCTTCCCTTAAATCATGGACTTTGATAATCAATTCCAACCTGATTGCATGATCAGCAGGTGAAATGCGATAGCCATTCCGAGCTTCCATCCATGTAAAGATCTGTATACAAATGGCATGATTTTCAAACCACCGTTCTGCATCGGCAGACTAACTTGAATGTTTAACTCCGCCTCTAAAATAACAGAAAAATGCAAAAACAAAAACAAAACAAAGGAGTAGGAGGAGAAACAGAGAGCAGTAAAAGATCTGGGATTAAAAACAAGAAGTTTTTAGTTCACAGTATTTCGGTAGTTAGTGCATAATGGGTTAATATAGAAATCGATGGTCTTATAGCAGTTAGAAGTAGTTCGACCGCGGCAATTTTACAGCATCAAAGTACAGCATTAACTTAATAATCTGATGAGCAAATTGCAGGAAATCGGTAAATCTCTTTTCATTTTCAATCATAGTTTCTCATTTTCAATAACATTTCCTAATATTTTTTCACAATCATATCACTCTATGATACTAATTTGATATTACTGCTTACTTTAATTTCATAAATTGAAATTTCAAAGCCAACAAATAAGTTAGCCTAGCAAATTGAACCACAACCAATGACCAATGACGCATTCAATTGAATACTATGAAGCCATTGCCAAAAAACAAATTTTGTTTTGTTTTCATAAGAGAGTAGCCATTCAAGAAATCAACAGTTAAGGTTAGCTTAGCTATTAAAATTTCTTGGTGTGAAACTTGGGATCAAACCCTAACTTCATCTGGGTTGGGGGTTATAGCCAATAGCAATACATTGTATTGTATCCACAAATCGAAGTTGGGAAAAAAAAGAAAAAAACAATGAAAATCAAACCTCGAGAGCGTGCTTATAACGCTGGAATTTCATGAGTTGTGTGGAGATGCGACGAAGCTCGAAAATCGAAACCTTGTGGCCTTCATCGACCCAATTCTGAAGCACAATCGTTGCGCTCCGTCGTGGGAATACAAGCCCTAAAACCCTATTCTTGAGGTCGTCGTTGCGGTGGCCCTTTTCGCTCGACGGAGCAGATTCACCGGCGAAATCAATCGGCGAGGCGCGATACGAGATGTGCATCCACCAGCTTGCGGTGTGTGAAGTGTTGATGCTGCATTTTCGTCTCAGTGATGAGAAATTCTTGTGCCTATACATCATATACATACATGCGAAGAGAGAGAAAGTGAAGGAAGATTTGCTGCTTACCGTCTGAGATTGTGAAACAGCAAACGTGTCGCCATGGTTGGCGATACGGAACTCCAAGGTATTCTTCTGGGACGCAGATTTCAGTGCTCTGTTTGGATGCGAGAAAAAACTAGCTCATCGCCATGAATTTTGTTGACTGAGAAGTGGTGTTTATTTTGAGAGGGATTGAGGCATTTGATTGGATTAGTGGTCACTCAAGATTAATAGTTGGCTGTTTGATTTAAAATTATTGGTCCGGATTATTAACCTCTGGAATTATTAGTCCAAATATGTTAGATTATTGTATCTTATGGTAGGAGATATGGGATTAATGATCATTTTGATCCTTTATTATATAAAATTTAATAAAATTTAAATGTTTCAATTTAAAAATAAAATAATTTTATGTAATTTTCATTGATGTTTTATTTATTTTATTTTTTAAAATTATTTTTTATAGATATTTTATTTTAAAATTTTATTTATATTTTATTTAATTTTATTATTTAAATTTTAATAGATGTTTTATTTAATTTCATTATTTAATTATTATTATTTTTTAAATAAATTTATTTAAAATTTTAATTAAAAAAATAGCATATATTTTTATTGATATTTTATTTATTTAGTTTTAAAAAAATAAATTTATTTAATTGTGTAAAAAATAAAATAACTAAAATTTTTATTTAATTTAGCGAAAAATAATTAAAATATTAAAAATATGTTTAATATTGCTATTACCAAGTACAATTGAAAATAGGTAAAATAGTATTTTGCTCATTTATCTTATCTAATCTGTCCAACCAAACATTGGATTCACTAAAAATAGTGATTTCTAGAAATCTAATCCCATGAGAAAACAAGCATAGGATATACATTCAATCTAACCAAATAATCCAGGGGACTCACAGTTTCAGAATTCAAGTCCGATGGATTCTAATCTTCTCTTATCCAGTCCGTCCAATCAAACACACCCTATAGTGGTGTTTGTTTTGTAGGATTGGGGCATGGAATTGGACTATTAGTCTGGATGAACTAATAGTCCGTTGTTTGGTAATCAATTTTTGCTCCGGACTATTAGTCCCATATTTGTTGGATTGTTGTATCCCATGGGGGTTGGGATAGAAATCATGGGATAACTCATCCCATGAGATTAGCTTATGAAATTACCTTTTTGACCTTCTTGTATTTAATATATTTTTTTAGTGTTGTTAATTTAAAATTCTATATTAAATAAAAAATATACTAATAACAAAATTCAAAAACGACAACTATAGATAAGTTTGATACGCAAAGAACGATGCAAAGAAAATCTCTCATTTTTTCATTTCTCTTATTATATTTCAAGAAACTTTCTATCTCATCAACTTGTGAACTTTATATTTTCTTTTTATTCTTATCCCTTGAAGCTAGGGAACTTTCAATCTGTTTATAACATTTAATCATGGAGAGTGAAGAAGCATACTAAATATATTTGACCTCGTGGTTATAACATTTTTTTAAAAAGAGAATTACTTAACAGTGTATTGTAAATCCATTTTGGGATGTTTGGTTACATGTGTATTGGGTCTTTTTGTAAAATTTTTATATTTTTGTATTTGTAAACAAAATTTGCTTCTAGAACATTTTAGTTTTTAAATTAAAAAAAAAAAAACAGAGACAAACACACTCAGAAAGAGGAGAAAAGCATGAGAAAAGAGAAGGTTTTTTTGTTGTTGTTGTTGTTGCGTGTGTGTGTGTTGCTATGTATAAGGTGCAAGAGAAAGCTTTGTAAAGCTGATTTTTAGTGAAAAAGCATAGATTTTTGATGCCCATATAAGTGTTTACTTATGCTTTTGTTTTTTTGATTATTTGTGCTGAAAGTTGTTTGCTTGAAGCTAAAAATCTGTGCAGAAAATTCAGATTGTTGATAGCTGTGTTTGTGCTCTGTTTTTGGTCCATTCGTGGTTGTTTTTTAATGACATTGTGCATGTAATTAATTCCCAAATTTTCGTAACAAATTCTAGTATTCGAGCCTTGGGTGTGTTGCTTGAATACTGTGGTGAAATTAGGGCTTGTGTTGATATTTGTTGTTGCTTAAGTTGTGATGGATTTTACTACTACCAATTTCTTTCAATCCCAATTTCCTAGATTGGGCAAAGACAATTATGAGAAATAGAGTATCCAAATGAGAGTGTTGTTGGCCTCTCCAGATTTGTGGGATTTAATTGAAAAAAAGGTATGAAGAACCCAACTCATAAGAAGATGCAGACAAATTGTTAGAAAATCAGAAGAATGCACTAAAAGGTTGTAGAAAAAGAGGCAAGAAAGCATTTTTTCTACTCTACCAGTGCATTGACGAGTCAACTTTTGAGAAGCTCTCCTCCGCCACAACTTCTAAAGAAGCTTGGGAAATTCTTAGGAATTCACATAAAGGCATTGATAAAACGGTACGAGTGCAGCTTCAAGTTTTAAGGGTTGAGTTTGAGTCATTAAATATAAATGAGAATGAGTCCGTTTCAGTTTTAAGGGTTGTGTACATCCGAACTTTGGGTATGGTGAAAATCTTGATGGTGTGCGTGTGATAGAGAAGGTTCTATGGTCACTAAGTTCCAAATTTGAGCATGTAGTTGTTGCCATTGAAGAATAGAAGGATCTTAATACCATGACAGTTGATCAACTGATGGCCACACTTGAAATACATAAGCAAAGGATTAACAAAAAAGCCTCTAGTTCCCTTAAGCAAGCTCTCCAATCCAAGCTTTCTTTCAAGGAAGAAAAGGAGCAGGGCACATCCTATAGAGGAAGCAGAAGAGGCTATGAAGGTCGTGGTAGGGGTTATGGAAATCGCGGAAGAAGCTATGAGAGCCATGGTAGAGGTCGTGGAAGTAGATGTAGAGGTGGAAGAAACACTATTGGAGGTGGAAGAGGTCAAAATTCATATGCTCCAAGAGGAAAATGAAGAGAAAGAGGAGGAGGAAATTACAACTGTTCATTCAATAGGCATGGCTATGACAAGAGAAATGTGGAATGCTACAATTGTCATAACTTTGGGCACTATAGCTATGAATGTAGAGCAAAGTCAAGCAATAAAGTTGGTGGGCAAGTGAACTATGTTGAAAAAGAGAGCAATGAAATGGGGCATACTTTGTTTCTAGCTTATAATCGGTCTGAAAATGATCAAAGCAATGATCAAAGCAATAAAGTTGGTGAGCAAGTGAACTATGTTGAAAAAGAGAGCAATGAAGTGGGGCCTACTTTGTTGCTAGATCATAATGGGTCTGAAAATGATCAAAGCAATGTGTGGTTTCTTGATACCGGGGCTAGCAATCATATGTGTGGCAAGAAGCATATGTTTGTTGAACTTGATGAAGCAATGCAAGGCCATGTTACATTTGGTGACTCCTCTAAAATTCCGGTGAAAGGCAAAGGTAAAATTCTAATCGAACTCATGAATGAAAATCATGATTTTATTTCCAATGTTTATTATGTTCCGAATATGAAGAATAATATTTTGAGTTTGGGCCAACTTTTAGAGAAGGATTATGATAATAGCTTGAAAAGTCTTTACCTTACTATTAAAGATGCTTGTGTTAATTTGATTGCTAATGTGAAAATGTCCAAGAATAGAATGTTTTCTTTGAATATTCAACATGATGCTATAAAATGCTTGAATGCTATTGTCAAAGACAAGGCTTGGTTATAGAACTTGAGGTTTGGACATCTCAACTTTGGTGGCTTGAAGCTTTTATCAAGTAACAACATGGTGAGAGGTTTGCCAAATATTGATCATCCGAATGAAGTTTGTGAAGGGTGTATTCTTAGTAAGCATCATAGATCGAGCTTTGCAAAACAAGTGAGGTGGATAGCATCAAAGCCCTTGGAGCTTCTGCAGACCGATGTATGTGGACCTTTGAAGCCTATGTCAAATGGGAAGAATAGGTACTTCCTCACTTTTATTGATGACTATAGCCGAAAGACATGGGTATACTTTCTAAAGAGGAAGTTTGAGGTGTTTGATGTTTTTAAGGAGTCCAAGACACTAGTTGAGAAGCAAACATCAAGGAGTTGAGATCTGATCAAGGCAGTTGTAGACACCCCATTTTTGACCGACCTTAAGACTCAGACGTCATCAGTTGAGCGCTCGGTGATATTGCATATAATGCTCGTTCAAAAGTTTCAGAGTCTTGGCTGCGAGCCTTGCCTCCGGACTTCCGGACTCTTTCATGTCTTGCCTCGGTTTGCGAACCAAGCTCTGTTTTCTCTTCCCAGAGGGAGGGAGAGGTCTCGTAGACCATCTCTCAGTGGCCGTAGGCTAAGTTTCGCGGTCATAGGCCATTTTTCCCATTTGGAGCCCGGTTTTCGATTTTTCGGAGCCGACGGCCGTGTGCCTCAGTTCGGGACCACCTAACCACCTCCGTTTGCTCTGATTTTTGGTATACACCTTATTTCCTCCCTTTTGAGGGACATTGGGGTCTGAGAGACCAACTTCGCAGTCAAACGCCACCTTCGGTGCTTAACAGCCCATTTTCGGGGTCTCGGGCTGCGCGTTTCGGTCCCCGAACCTCTGTTTTGCATCCGTTTTGGTTCATTTTTGGTGGAGACCTTATTTTCATAGTTGGGAAGCTTGTAGGAGAGTGGAAGGCCAGCAATTGTTCCAAAAAACCAGTTTTATTTCTTCATCGCTCTCTGACGCCCGTTTTCCTCACTTGAAAGCCAATGTTGACCACCCTGGAGCCACTTTCTTGAACCCTAAACCCCATATTTGTGTTGTACACATCTGGGAGGCCACCAATATTTGGTGGCTGACCAGTAATTGTTCCTGACCCTTTTGACCCCCTCTAAAAAATGGTCTTTTGTCTCTTTTGGTTCACTTTTTCTGGATTTCAACCACATAGTTATGTTGTGTACACATGGGAGGCCACCTTTTTGAGGTGGCCAACCAATAATTTTGCTTGACCCCTTTGACCCTTGGTCGGCCGGCCATGGGAGGTGGTCGGCCGACCACCTGAACCCCCAAAACCTGGCCGGCCATGACCCCCACTCCCTGTTCCTTCCAGCTGTGACCACTTTTTCCCCCCAGATCCTGTATCCGGGGGGGTGCCCTTTTGGGGGGAAATTTGAATTCATTTCCCCCCCTTTTTCCTCCCCTCTTTTGCCTATATAACCAACCCCTCAGCTGCATTTTAGGGGTTACAAATTTTTGGTCTTGAGCCCTTGCAC